AAAAAAAAAAAAAAACTAAACTGATAGCAATGGAAACTCTAAAACTAGAAAAATGTCAAGAAAGCAAACACTGGTTTCAATAAGACACTGAGCCTGACAGCTCATGGAAAAAGATTTGAAACTGACAAAACACAAAAACCCCCCTTGCAAAGGGAACACAGGTTCCTAGTTTTGAAACTCATCAAATTCAAAACATGTCTCAGAGCAACTATATTTTTGTGCCTAAGTCTGAAGTCAAGGCTCTCAAAGGTCTTGGGGATTTGGGGGCGTGAAGGGGGTCGGTCTTCAGTGGGAACAAAGCTAGGAGGAAAGAAGAAGATGGGACAAAATGAAGCCCTCTACAAACAAGGTGAGGCTGGTCAAGTTGCCTCCAGGGCCAGGGCTAAGTCTGGCCATGTGGCCCAGGCCAGTCATCCACCTCCCACAACCACTCCTTGTGGAATGAGGAACATCACAGGGACTGCCTGGGGTTGCTGGGAGGAGTCAGGGAGACCCTCTCCTGGAGCCTGGTAAAGCTTAGAGTCCACAGGACCTAGACAACTCACATTCCTCCTTACTTTGTACTCAGGGCCCAGCACACAGTAGGTGCTCCATCAGTGCTTGTGGGATGTCAAGGAAGACCTGGTCCTGCCTTGAAGGGCACAGGGGGCCGCACAGAAGAGAGAAGACATAGCGAGATGCAAGATGGCCAGAGCCCATCCTGTGCCTGGGAGAGCGGGCCTGGAGGCTGGGCCGGGATCAGAGAGCAAGAACCAGAGAAGGGTCCAGAACAGCCTAGAACTCAGGAAGGCCTGGGATTCCTGATGAGAGAACAGTTTCCAGGCATAGCAGGGCCTGTCATCAACGAGCAGCCTCCATTCCTGACCATGCAGGCTCTGTGGGAAGGGCCTCGCGGGCCCTACATCAGTCAATCCAAAGACCAACACTATGAAGTAAATGTCACTTTCTGAATTTTACAGACGAGGAAACTGAGACACAGAGGAGGTAAGGAACTCGTCCAAAATCACATAGCTCATCATGGTAGAACCAGGACTCCAGCCCTATCTGCTTCTCTCCGACCTGCCCCCTTCCCCTCTGCTGCCTGGGAAGTCAGTGGAAAAGGAGAGGGAGGAGGAAAGAGAGGGGAGGGAGAGGAAGGGGTGAGGACAGGGAGGGAAGAAGGAGGAAGAGACAGGGAGGGAGGGAGAAGGAAGAGAGGGGACACAGAGGGGGGATAGAGGGGTAAGGAGGAAGAGGGACAGCAGGGAGTGGGGAGGCAGGGAGAAAGAGAGGTGGGGGGGGCAGGATGGGAAGAGGGAGGAAGGGAGGGAAGGTGTTCAGGAATGCCCCTCCTGGAGGTTACTACAGAGGAACGAACGAAGGTCATTTCTAAGCCTTCATACCTGCACCCCATCCAAATAGCTCCAAGCAGGGTGTGTCACAAAGGCTTCACCCACCCACCTGCTTTCCCCATTACAGGCGAGGTTGGGAGACCAGGCCGGTGGAGCCATGAGGCTGAGTTCAGAGAAGATAAACCTCCTGAGCCCAAACCCAGGCAGGGCCCGGAGCGGCTTTGTGTCTGGCTGGTTCAAGCAGCCCCTCAGTCCCTCTGGAGACTTACCCACAGGCTCTGGCTTAGGCCGGAAGGTCTGGCCTGGGAAGCACAGGTGAAGCTCTGAAAGAACACCAAAGGAGAGTTAGGGGTGCCAGGGCAGTGAGCCAGGCCAGGCTAGCTCCAAGCTGCCCTCCCAGTCCTTCCGGGGCCCAGGACACGTCCACTTACTCTGCCTGAGCCCCTTCCTGCAGGCCCTCCAGTGGCATAGGAGGAAGATGCTAGAGACCAGGAACAGCACCAGCACCGTGGTCGCCCAGAAGAGCACAGGTCCTGAAACACAAAGGGGCCCTGCTGGTTTGCCCTGCACCTACAGCAGTGAGCCAAGGCCCTCCTGCAACCACACAGGACAGCCCTAGGCCTGCACTGCTTCCTCCATCCTCTGGGACCTGGGTTCCCTTGTGGCTTATAGTGCCTGATCCTTTCCCAAGCCAGCAGTGAAGCCCAGCCCCTGTATCTGACCCAGCCCTCACCCATCTGCCTCCTCACCATCAGGGCTAACTAAATTGTTTCAAGAAGAATAAACTATTCCTAAACCAAAAAAAAAAAAAAAAGTGTTGCCGTTCAGTTGATTCTGACTCCACGACCCATGTGGTACAGAGTAGAACGGTGCTGCACAGGGTTTTCTTGTCTATAATCTTTACAGAAGTTTGCCAGGTCTTTCTTCTGTGGCACCATTGGGTGGGTTCAAACCATCAGCCTTTAGGCTAGTAGTCAAGCACAAACTGTTTGCATCACCTAGCGACAGTTGCCATGGAGTTGATTCCAATGTATAGCAATCCTATATGTCAGAATAAAACTGTGCTGACTTTTTAGAAGATTGCCAGTGCTTTCTTCCGAAGTGCCTCAGGGTGGACTCAAACTACCAACCTTCCTTTTGGTTAACTGCCAATACATTAACTGTTGTACCACCCAGGGACTCCAAATATCCCTAGGGAGTGAGAAATTTAGGAGTCAAGAAGCCAGAAGGAAGAAGGGATAATGCCTGGGGACTGTGGAGGAAGGCACAGTGTAGTGAACAGCCCTGGGCAGCTGGCAGCACTCACAGTGTGGCCAAGGTCAGAGTCAGAAAGGCGGAGCTGTGAAGATGGGTAAAGTATGTGAGTGTGTCTGACACTGCTTTGCATGAGCTCCCAGCCTCCCCACTAGACTGTAAACTCCATAAGAGTAGGCGTGTGCTCTGCAAACACAGTCAGTGCCCACCGAGTGAACCAATCAACAACCCTATGCTATAGGCACTGTTACTATCTTCATTTTACAACCTAGGGAAACCAAGGCTCACTAAGGTTAAGTAACTTGCCCAAGGTCACCGCAAGGGTAAATGGCAGTCACAGCTCAGTTCAAGCAGGCAGACTCCAGAGTCCATGCTTTTAATTGCTATCTTGATGTATTTCTTTATATCTTAGCACCTACTTGCTTCCTATTTCCTTTCTTTTTTTCACTTTTGAAACTTGTAAAGGTCATATATCCAGTTATTGTGTTTTAAGTCCAATTTTAGATGTTAAAAATGTAATATATGCCAAATGAGTAGCTGTAACACTTTTATGTGCATATGACTCCCCTGGAGATCTTGTTAAAATTCAGATTCTTATTCAGCCAGTCTAGGTGCGGATAATTTGCTTTTCGAACAAGGTTACAAATGGATAAGCGCTTGACCACCAGCTGAAAGGCTGGCAGTTCAAACCCATTCAGAGGCACCTCCACAGACAGCCAGGTGATCTGCTTCCGAAAGGTCACAGCCTTGAAAACCCTATGAAGTGCTTCTACTCTGTATGCACAGGGTCACTGTGAGTCAGAATCAACTTCAGCAAACAAGTGCCCAGGTGGTACTGATGCAAGCAGGTCCACTATCATCACACTTTGAGAACTACAGTACTGGCCTAGGGCATTACCACCACCTAGTGGCAGCTACTAGAATTGCAAGCCCTAAAAAGAATTGCCCAGTGTTTAAGGAGAGCACTCAGTGGCACAGTGGTTAAAGCTCTGCTCACAAAAAAGTCAGTTGTTCAAACCCACCAGTTGCTCCACAGGAGAAAGCTGAGGCAGTCTGCTTCCATAAAGATTTACAGGCTTGGAAACCCTACAAGGCAGTTCTACTCTGTCCTATTGGGTCACTATGAGTCAGAATCAACTCGATTGCATGCAACATTTCTAGGGGAGTCCTTGGGTAGTACAAATGGTTAGTATGCTCTTGGGAGAAAGGCCTGGTAATCTATTTCCAAAAAAGTCAGCCATGGGAAGCCCTGTGGAGTACAGTTCTACTCTCCCACACATGGGGTCCCCATGAACCTGGGTTGACTCAATGTTCTACTCTCATGCACATGGGGTCCCCATGAAAAACAAAACACCAAACTCACTGCCATGGAGTCAATTCTGACTCATAGAGACCCCCATTAGGTTTCTGAGGTGGTAAATCTTTACAGAAG